TGTCCCACCTGAGGGGGGGGACAGCAGAAGCTACTGGAGGAACCATCTGCAACTGGAGGGAGAGCATCTCAGCAGATGAGCACACAGGTTTGGCTGTAAAGCTTTTGCAAAAGCGAGGAAGAGGGCATGTGGTACATCACGAAACCAAGAGCAGCTGCTTTGAAGCACTGTGTGAACTAGCTCTTTTGATCCAGATCTCAACACAGCCAGGCACGAGTTCAGCAGAGGAAAAAAAAAGACAGCTGCAATGTCAAAGTCTTACTGTTATGGCTTTCATCTTCTTCCTCATCCTCGTCATCTTTGTACAGGATGGGCCCCTCCGAGTCAGAGTCGCTCATCCCTTCATCTCCTTCCTGCTCCTCTGGCAGGATCTGGGGTACCAGTTTTGGGATGACTGTGACAGAGGGCACATCTCCAATATACACATGGGGACCCAAATTCTGCTCCTCTTCCTGGTCATCATCTTCCTCTTCCTCATCGTCTGGACTAACGACAAGCACACTATTACACCTCTTAACACACACCACAGGGGCTGGGGAATATCCCCGGAGATCAACACCTTGTTATCTCTCCTCAGCCCGTAGAAGGCAGGTCTGTGGGGAGCCCAGGAACCAGAGACACAAGAGCAGCCCCACGATCCTGCACCATCCCCTCTCTCCAAAGCAGAGGGAGCTCTGGCGGAGGAGATGCCAGAGGCAGGTTCTTTGCAGAACCAAAGAGCCCTCTCACCCCTCTACTTTAGGACTTGCAGGTTCAACTCTTATAATACAAACCAGTCCTTTTCTCACTTCTGTTTCACAAAACGAAAGGCTAAGGAAGGCCACAAGTGGACAAAATCCAGGACCTCATTTTGTCTTGGTGCAATTAAAGACAGGCCTGGAGTCCTGGCATCAGCCCGTGTTTGTAGTCTGGAACCCATTTTCCTTTGTGAGCAATAAAGTCCCAGAACCAGGGTTAATTTAGTGGGGAAGATGCACTGGCCCCCCTAAGAAGCTGAAACACAGATTCAGCCAACAGGCGGAACGGTTTCTAGGCTGTTGCAAACCAGAACAAACCAAAAAACCCACCAGCCCTGCCCACAGCCCCCCACCCCATCACAGCCTCACGCCAGACGCGGGGCGTGCGACACCAGCGTGTCAGCCCAGCGTGACCCACACCACTGCTCGGTGTGTACCACACACACGCTCGGGAGGTACTCACACTTTCAGCATCTCGATGGTGACGGGCAGGGACCTCGTCCTGCCCAGGGAGCCGTTTTCTTCTCCAAAGCCATCGTTCTCGAAGAGCAGCGAGTGAGCCCGGTGCGACCCCTCGGCAGGGGGGGTGACGGGCAGCGGACTGGCCAGAGCCTGCTGGATACGGATGTGCAACGGGATTTGGGGCAGGCGAGGCAGCATGTGAGGTTCAACGAACCCTTGCTCTGCTGTCCTCTTTGACACTTCCACGGACCTGAAGTCTTCAGGAGGAAGAGGAGGAGGAGGAGGAGTCTCTTTGGGTAGGTCCAAGGAGCGTGGAGGGTCCAAGACAGGGGTGGAGGCAGGCAAGGGCATGCGTGGAGGCTCAGGGGGTATGTGCGTGGGCAGCGGCGGCGAAGGCGAGGGTGGTGGGTAAGCAGAGGTCATGTGCACGGGTATGGGTGCAGGGCGGTTGGCCGCCACCGTCCTGTCATTCGGGGGCTTGGAAGCGACAGCTGCCTCCGACGTGTTGTTAGGCAGGAGACCTCTCTTCGGTGGGAGAGGAGGGGAAGGCTTGGACAAGCCTGTACCACTGTGCATTGCTTGAGAAAGTTCAGCTGAAAATACAAAACACAAAAGCTGCTATATTTAACAGGGCATGTTCCAGATACTCTTCCCCAGTGTGGAATAAGCACAGAAAAGTCCTCAGAGCCTTGGACCAAGCAACCTCAGCTGCTTCCGTGCTAGAACACGGTGCCAGAAATAACCAGGTTGCAAGCCTCTAGTTTGTCCTTCCTGCAGCAAAGGTAAGACTTGGGAGAGCAGCCAGGAAGAAGCAGGCTGGGAGAGGTCTGTGCATCCTGCTGCTTTAGAGAGACAACCGGCACCAGCCCTCGAGTGACAGCAGATGGAGCTCACCCAGACCAGCGCCCGCCTCCGCCAAGGAACGCAGGTATGCAGGGCACTTCATGGCTATATTTACAGCACCAGTTTGCAAAGGAATCTGAGACATCCAGGGCACCCCAGACTCCAGTTGTGTTAACGGCTCCTTTGCACATTCAAAAAACTTCTTGGGAAGTCTCCAAGGCAAAAGTCAGCAGAATCATAGAATCATCTAGTTGGAAGAGACCCTCAAGATCATCGAGTCCAACCATTCATTCTGCACTGTCAGGGTCCCTAAACCGTGTTCCTCAACACCAAATCCACATGGTTTTTCAACACCTCCAGGGATGGGGACTCCACCACCTCCCTGGGTGGTGGAGAAATGCAGTGCTCTCCCCATTTCCACTCCTCAGTCAGACCCAGCCCAAGAACACCTTGTTGCCAGCAGCTCCTGCCCGTTTCAGGATGAGGTTTTCTGCTCTATTCCCTCTGCACTCTATTCCATTTGAACTTCTCTGCAAATACAAAATAACTGACAAAACTTCCAGAAATACCTAAGAGCCTTGAGTCTACATAGTTTATCTGCTGTGTGATGGAGGAGACAGGGAGAAACAAAGACCGTGCCACATTACGGAAAACGCCTGCAGCCGGCAATCTCAGGTTCCCCAAACACCCCTCGGTTCCTAGGGAAGAAGTTGCATCAGCAAAGACTGCTCTTGCTTTTGGAGTTTGTAGCCTTTAACATTCCATGGCTTCCTGGCCTTGGAAAGGTTTTGCCCATCTGCTTTGAAGAGGATCAGGTTCGCTGCACGTTTCACCTGGAGCGGGCGATGGCCCCAGCACAGAGCTGGGAGAAATCCTCAGTGCCACACACCACGAGAGGGTGCTGCAAGCAGGGAGTGTTCCACCGAGCTGAGATAAGGCTGCATAACTGGAGAGAGGTGGGCGCATTTTTGGGATGTTTAGCATTTTCAGACTTTCCCCTTGTAGATTAAGGGCCAGATTGTGCAAAACACCGAGTGCCCTCAGCTCCCATCAGCTTCAGCCCAGAGGGATGCCAGTGTCTCCTCGAGCAGTGCTCGAAGCCTGGCAGGACCAGGCTTGGAGTCACTTTTGGGTAATGATAGACAGATTTTGAAAGGAACCAAGTAGCTGGCAGAAGGGAGAGGGGACAAGAAAAGGGCTGGGTGCCACTCAGAGCATCCTCCCGAGCCAGCCTGTCTCCCTCCAGTGCGATAAACCCAGTGCGACGACTGGCACCGCCGCCTGTGATGTGCCACGGTGGTCAGATCCGTGGCTGTGGCTCTTGAAACCTCTCAGTGGCACCATGCACCAGGGCCGCTGCCAAGCTCCCGGCCAGCGGCACAGCACTGTTTGCCCCTGCGTGCTTTTCTGAGCTGATGCCAATTAAATTCCCACTCCCCAAAAGCGTTTCCTGAGCCTTACCTTCAGCTTCTGCATCAGACACACCAGGACCGCTCGGAGAAGGAAAATAAGGGAACAAAGGGGCGATGTGCAGGTGAACAGCTCTCCCCTGCCTTAGGCTGTACCAGCAGCACAAAAGCACCATGCCCGGGTCAGAGCACCCATCCAAGACCTGCGGGGAGCTCAGGAAGCCAATTCCACTGCTGCTCTTTATCCACAGCAACAAAACAAGGCTCTGGCAGCAATAACTGCACGCGTGTCGCACTCACAGCTCCATCGTGCCGGAGGCACGGCCCTGCAGAGAGCTGCAAAGCCTCTCTGCACCTGCATTCTCATCCAGGAGACAAAAGAGGGGCTGGCTGCTCTCCTCTTCCTCCCCTTCAGCCGCAGGTGCCCTGTGTTGCCGGGGAGGAGGCACAAGCTGGCTCTGAACACACGTTTGATAGGCTGTGCTGTCTTCAGCCACATTTTTTGTTGCACAAGTACGTCCTGCAATTAGCGCTGGAGCATTTCAAATACCATCTGCGACGTGTGCAAGCAGCTTAAAGAAAACAAGAAAGTATTTCATCGAGTGCTCAGGCATGGTCAGACCGATCAAGCTGGTCTGGCACACAGGAGTGTTTAATACCATATCAAGGTCGCTTGCAAAACCTGCTAGAGCAAGGAGAAGCCCCAAGCAGAAGAGAGATGCAGTTTGTACCCAAAGCAGTGGCCCAGGCTCCTTCAGACCGTGACTTGCACACGATCTAAGCTTCTACCCACCACTGCCTCCCAAACCACACCTGGGCAACGCCTCCAGTTTCTGTGATAACAGTGCAGACCTGTCTGATTGATCTTCCCAGGAACCCTCTGCTAACTCAATCCAAAGATTAGCAGTTAGTCTGGGAAACATAAACAGGCCATCGAGTGGATGGAAGCTGCCTCATTTACTCAGCCATGTTGTGTCTTTAAGACCTCTATAACTCCTGAAGAGAACAGACTCATTCAGCTTTAAGAGACTCTCCCCAGATCTTCTGCTTAGAAACATTACAGAGATAAAGATGTTTAATTCTTTAAGTGGGAAGATTCAGCTCAAATTACAGGTGAGCTAATTTATCCATGGGACAAGACTAATATGGCAATACCCTAGCCATGGACCTTAGAGAAGGTACCCAAGTACTCCAGGGAAGTCTGAATTATCTCTGCCAGCTCCTGGTCTCTCTGCACTAAGTGGAAACCACATGGCCCAGCAGTGACAGCCATAACAGACGTTGTTTGGCGTGAAGTGGATTTTTTGGGGGTGTTTTTTTGGTGGTTTGTTGGGGTTTTATTGGTAAAGACCAGCTGAAAGCATCAATTCTTCCTGACCATAGTCTCACAAAGCAAAAATCTCATGCTTCATCCACCGATCCCAGCTGTCCACAGCTGAGTCCCAGCCCTCAGTGAAGCACCAACATTCAAAGACACTGTCTTCCAGTTGACAGAAAAATGCCTTCCCCTCTCCCCACACCACCTCTACTCCTGCCAAAAGCAGGCAGGGATTCCCTCCTGCAGGTAGCTGTTGGAAACACGCACGCCTGACAGATTGGATGGCTCACGGCAGAAGACTCCAGTTAATTACATTGTTCCCAGCACACCTATGGCCTGGCTAAACACTGGCAGATCTTCTGAGTCCAAACTCAACTGTATCCAGGAAAGATGGTCAGACACTGACAATACAACATTTGCTACATCACACTAAAAGAATCTTCCCTTACAAAAGGAAGAAACTCTCAGAGTGAGGGCTCCAGAACATTCCAGGGTACAAAAACCAGTTTACGGAGCCACTTACCTATTACTGAGTTGCTATTTCTGTTGACAGGTTTGGGAGGAGGGACGGGAGGCTGTTTGGCAGGAGCTGTGCTGGTTGTACTTGTGGGAGCAGTAGTGTTGGCACTGGTGAGAGCAGGGGGCAGAGTCCTGGGGGCTGCGGAAGGGGCAGCTGTGGAATTGACTGTCTTTGCCACAGCAGGGGCTGTGGTGGAGGGTGCAGTTTTTGCAGTGCTGCTGGCAGGCGTCGGATCATTTGCCTGCGCTTCATTCGCTTCCTGGGAAGTGGAAGGAGGTCTTTTCGGAGGAAGCAGAGGCTGTCTGGGAATGTACGGCTCCTGAGGTGGTTCCAGTTCCGGCCCAGAGTGGCTGCTGGATGAGCCTGCAAAGTGAGACAGCTGGGTTTAAGAGACTGGAGAGCCCAGAGAGGGGTGGGAAGAATCAGATGAGAATTCAAAACCAGTCCTGGGAGAATCTGAAGCAACTGATTTTGCACACGTCTGGGTTCTTACTCTGCCTCTTTGGTTCCTCAGCTGGAACAGGCTTCCTAAGGCTGGATGGCTTTGTGGCCTCTTCCTCTGGGCTGGCCAGGTTACAAACGCCAGGACCACCGACTGGCACCGTGTGGCCATTCTTCAGTGCAGGTGGGTTCAGCTTGTCTGGTTCTTCACCATCTGCAAGGGGACGGGAGAGGAGAGAAGCAAACAGAAAACACTTAGAAAGTGCAAGACAGAGGAGACATGGCTGAGCTGCGCGGGACTGGCATCCATCTGCGCCAACTTCTCTCTGACTTCTGAAACAGCTGGTCTTCTGCCTACCTTCTGCAGAGGAGAGCACAGCAACACCAACTAGCTGAAGCTGAGAGCCCTTGATTTCATTATCAACAAGAAAAACAGTACAGCACTGTATCTCATCAAGTGTTTTTCTTCTTCAGCAACCTCTTAATCTACCACCTTGTTTAGAAAGAACGCTACTGCATTTCACACTGGTATGCCCAGTGCTGTGCCACAGCCCAAGGAAGCTGCAATTGCAGTTAAAAACCTCCAGCAGCTCCTGTATCTGCCCACCATTACAGAGCATTCACAAATTCGCTGCTGCAACACAAATTCCAACACTAGCCAAGTAATCTACTGGACATGCAATAATAGATTTTGATAAAGTCTTAAAATTAGTTGAAACACCTCTATCTTCCTTCTGTTTCTACCCTGAATTTGGCACAAAAATCACTCTTCTACTCAAAATGTCCCACAGCAAGGCATGTTTCCTCACTTTTTTTACCTTTGTTTTAATCAGACGTAATGATACATCTCCAGAATCTGATGTAGTTCATCTTGACTATCTCTGCTTTTACAAACGGAATTTCTCAAACGTAAGAAACAAGAGCTCTTTTGGAAAAAAAACAATCCTCTTTTCAGCCCATGCTTTTGAGAGCACTTAAAGCCTTAGTCACAATGAGGAAATACTCAACCACTCTCTGCCTCTGTAATTGCCCTGACAGGACAAACTCTTGATAATATTATTCCCCAAATCAGACTTAGCATCCACTGTAATGGGGCTTTGCCTATTTTGACTGCTTTCTGACTCAAAAAACCCTCAAATACATCACCAATTTGATTAAAAGTCCTTCGCATTTTCAGTCTACTACCTCTCAAGCAATCACAGTGCATGGAATCACTCACCTCCCAGCTGTCAGACCCCAGCACGCTCTGTTGCTCCCATTTTTGATGGTTTGCTCCACTGCTCTCTTCACCTCTCCCCGCCAAGGTATTCCCTTCCCTACCCAGGTGTTGTTCAGAAGCTGAAAGCAAAGAGACCAGGAAGCCAAAAGCTCCCTGGGCTTTCTTTTCTGCAAAAGGCAGCCTTGGCTCCTGAGAGGATACGGAAGACCGCGCTGCCTTGATGCTTAGCTGCCCTTCCCTGAAACACCGAAGTACGGACTGCAACAAGAGGGAGTCTCCTCCCCAGCCAGGGCTGAAACTCCAAAGATGAGCCAGAGCTTTTTACAGCAGCGATTGCCCCTGGCCAGCTGAAGGTCTCAACAAGAGAAGCAGGAACAGCACGATCTCACGTTCCTCACCGTTCAACCCTCGCCTGCCCTTCTCTGGCGGGGAGCTGCAGCACGTGCACAACGCTCCCGACAGCCTTTGTCACATCACCTCACTCCTGACTTCAGTTCCAGTGACCTCCTTCAAGGTCAAGACAGTCCAGCACTATCTTCTCTCCTTACTGTAAGCCCAGAACGACCTGCTGACCACCAGCCTTCTCCCAGCTGCACTGGGTTTGAAAGCCTCCAGTCTCCCTCTTCCCTTCCTCCTCGCTCACTCATCTCCAAGGGTTTCCAGCACTTTTTCCCCCTAAGAACTCGTCTAAGAAAACTAAGTGACCTTGCAGGAGCGGGTTTTAGAATCGCAAGCAAATACAATACCCCACCACCACCGTCTCATGACTGCCCAAGTGTCTCAAACACACAGAAGGGATTAAGATAATGCGCTTTCTACTCTAACCCCCTGACAATACCGACGGCTCCCCGTGCCTTGGGTTTGCACTTTGTCCAGATTACAGCCATCTTCTGCTTCTTAAGCCAGATCAGATGACTCAAAGCAGAAAATAATTCCATCTCTTAGCCACGCTTCTGTTACACCCTTGGAGCTTGGAAGATCTCTCCTCTGTCATCTCTAGTTGGAAGTTTGTTACACAAAGCCTTTGATCTCTCTTCCACAGTTTCATCCTGTGACCTCATACACTTTTGTACCCCAGTGAACTCTTCCTCCAGCCCAGCATTCATACCCTCGGGTACCTGTAGATGGCTTTCATTACGCTGCAGCTGCAAACAACTGCGTTAAGACTTTTTCTCTCAGTTTTGCTTTCAGTGGTTTGGTTTGAAAACCACTTTTTCACCTCCACTTTTCAACTCTGCATCTTTCTTTGAAGAACCCTGAAATTAGGTTACGGCTGCCTCTGCAGTACGCCTCTTGAAGACAACTACACGTCGCTCTAAGCCAAAGACCACGCTGCCACCCAGACAGGTGGGCTGCTCTCCCACCACACGTTCCTGCCCCCTCCCTTGTACCCACAGCACCCAACACACAGCCAGGTGACAGGCGGTGAAGGGATCTGCCTGAAGTTATTTTAGCATGACAGCCCCAACTCAGAGACATCAGGGATGACAGAAAAAGGGATAAGACTTCTTTGACAGCAGGGCAAGCTTCAATAAGCTTAGCCATGACTCGCTATGACACCATACCATGAAGCATTTTGTCTAGAACACTTTGAGGAGATGCCTCTACTCGGGCAGCTCAAAAGTCATCAATTGGTTTCTTTTTTCCAAGCCTAAGGCCTTCGAACCTGAGCTCTGAGGTCAGCGGCATTCCCGCAGCGGTTAGAGTGCAGTCTGGAGCGTGGCCAGAACAAGCAGGAGACAGTGAGCGCAAGTGGGATGGAGGAGTTTAGCAGGACAAGACAAGGCAGCTGGAGCAGGACACATACAAGAGGGACAGGATAAGAAGCGACACACAGAACACCCCTTCCCTCCCCGCTGGCAGCGACAGGAAGATGTCCAAGACAGATGTTGTGCTTTCTTAGCAACATCTTCCTAATGAACAAGCTGCCTTCCTTAGTCAGATGAGAAAGCATCTTGGAAAGAGAAAGACAGACAGGAACCACATTAGCACAGAGCCCTTAAGTTTGTTTCCCAAAAAAAGAATAGCTGCAAGGGTGAGGTTTTGCCAGAGGAAGATCAGCTACATAGAACACAGACAGAAGTTCATTTGCAGACTCACCCTGCTCAGGGTCTTCCAACAGAACCCCTCTTTTTACCAGCTCCTCTCTTGGCTTTCGCATAGAAATCTTTCGTTCTAAAACTGATATTAAATTGAAAAAAAGCACTCAGAAAACAGAGTAAGCTAGAAGTTCAAGAAGATACTTTTTTTTTTTTTTTTTTAAGGGATCCTCTGGAGGAACTAAAAGGGCTTCAAATTTCACTGTTTTTGCATGGATAAAGAGGAGGGACGGCACGTTCAGGCCTGCACTTCACGCTAGATCAGTGATCGTGGAGCAAACCCTCCCTCCCCACAGCTGCTTGGGGAGGTTCTCTGCAAGAAAGGAATTTGTCTGAAACTACTGCTCCATGGCAAGGTGTTTCTGGAGAGGTCGCAGGTGCCAGCCCATCACCAAAGTCACATTTTGGTTCTTACACGTGTCAGCACTCAGGCAGATTCTGACAGCAAGCCCTCCTCGCTAGCCAGATGGCTAACGGCGGCTTTCCCTGCGGAGGAAGGGCCTGTCACCCAGCCCCAATTACTCTACCTTCCGAAGTCTCCTTAAATTTGTCACTGCTTTTCTTTTTCCTCCACTTCCAGGGTTTGAAGATCTTGCCAAAGCTTGAAAACTTGCTTTTCCTCTTTGTAGGAGGTGTGGTGTCACCCGATTCCAAAACGTCTACCCCCATGCTGGCATCGGTTGGGAGGTGATCCACCTCTTCAGCTGCACAGAAAAGAATGAAGACGTTACCTTCGTGCTGCAGGTAAGAGCTGCCATCTCCCACCAGCTGCCCCTCGCACACTGGGAAACGGTGGCACACGCTCATGCAAAGAAGGTAGCGGGACTCCATGCCTTGACATGACCCGTCAGCGTTTCCCGTTAGCTTGGGGAGCCCAGCGTGGGGTTCCCAACGTTAACACAGGGCAAAGACAAGAGGCTTTCTAACGAAACAAGGATTAGTTTAAATCTGCGGTGTCACAGCTTCGCCCGAGGAACACAAATCACCTTGCTGCAGTTTCTCATCTTCAGCTGGAAGCAAGTGGTGCTAGACACAAGTAATTACATGAACACAAATACCTTCCAGACTGCAGAGCCGCCTTTCATGACCATCTACGCACGCCCAAATTACCAGACCCATCACAACAGCTGTATGTGCTAGAACTTAGCCTCTCTGATTTTTTTCCCCTCTATAAATAAGGCCAGCAAAGCTGGCCAAGAGCAACAACTACACAGGAAAGCAACACAATACAGGCCTGCACTCCACCTACTGTACTGGAAGTCTCTGGAGAACGACACAAGAAGGACACGGAGGTGGGAAGGGACAGGCAAAAAAAAACCAACTTGCTGCAACAACAAAAAAAAAAGCTCATAAAGAAACAACTTGCAAAGCAGAACCACAGCACGAAACGCTAAGCTGGTGACTGTCAATTCTGTCATGTCTGATGTTGCTGTTTTCTGGGGTTTGGATGAAACATAAGGGAACACTTACAATCAGCAGAACCTAGCAATGCCTGCAGAAAAATAAAAATTAGAGTGCACACAACCTAAGTGAAGCCAGCTGGTGGCCTGCTTCATGGTCTTCATGTACAGACCGGGAAGCTCTTGGCTTCAGCAATGCACAAGGCAGGAGCACCCCAGCTGCGCTGCAGAACTCCATGAAAACACGCAGTATTGAGGACGGAGCCTCGAGATCTCCTACGGTCCTACCACATGGTCCTGCCAGGCCAGACCCCGCGTACCATCGCACTTGTGCGTCCTGGTTTTGAGCCTCTAAGTCAAACGTGCTGTGTTTGCAAGCCTTCTGGGATCACAAAAGACCTTTTAGTCAACTTCAGACAAGCCTGTATGCCGTGCCTGAAGAAAAGACAATACCCCGTAGGCCACGCAGAGAGTTCAGCCAAGAACCCCATCTCCTGAGGCTAAGAGATTGGGAAAGGAATTTTAGGGGAAAGCCATTTTGCATACAGGACAAAGAGCTAATAACGTACCTGCTATATCCTACACATAACCACTAAAGGCACAGGGCTAGATGGGAAAAAGCAGATTCTTGCCAGCATGGGGAAGAGCAGATTCAGGATAGGGGGAAAAAAAACCAACCACCCAAACAGGGAAAAAAAAAAAAAAAAAAAAAAAAAAGAGTAGTTTGCTGGAGCTCTACCTGCAATCCTGTAGCGCTGTGTAGGATGAGATTTCGGACCCCAGGAAGCATCGAGGAGCCTCAGCCACGGGCTCTCGAGCAGCCTCAGGCCAGCTGGGCTGGGGACAGGCTGACACTGTCCGACACCACAGGACAGACAGACCCCGATTTTTCATGCTGAGCACAGATTAAGTGAAAGATCACTGAATAATGGGGAAGAGAAGGGCAACAGAGACCACACTAGCAGCGTAAGGGAAACCAGTGAGTATTTCAGTAGGAGGATCCAGATCACATGTGAGAAGTGCAGTCTTTAACCAAATGACGGAGGAAGATGAAAACCAGCCCAGGACTGTGGTTTACTCAGAGGCTGGAGTGACAAGAAAGTGCCACTGTGCTAACCAGCAGGAAAAAAAAACCACTTTTCAAAGCTAACTGTGGCCATTTCCAACTTCACCCAACAACGCACAACCCTTCCAGCTCTGTGCAGGTTTCTCTCCTCTCACTCGCAGGACTCCAGATTTCACACAGTGGTGGGCAATGGGGTTTTTCTGTTTCGTTGTTGGCGTTTTTTTTTTTTTTTAAATCAGCCCCCTAACAGAAAGCTCACTCAGAACCAGTGAAAAGCTGATGCCAGCCAACATTTATTTGAAAAAGCCAGATCAATTCAGCATCTGAGCTGCTTCTTCTTCAAAAAAAAAATAATCTGGCTTTATAACAGGAGAGAAATTGAGTGGAAAGTAACACACAAGATGTCAGCATCGATCTGTGATGTTCTGCAGCTTTATTTTCTATTCTGCCAGGAGGGAGGGTGGGAGGAAGTGGGGACCAAAAAAAAAAAAAAAAAAAAGGAAAAAAGAAAAAAAAAAGGCATTTCAAGCTCCCAGAAACCCACGATGAATTGTCTGGATGTTTAGAGGCACTTTCTTCAGAGACTAGATCATTAGCCCTGGAGTTGTACATGTAATTTTAAAAAGCAGTATTCACTTTGTTCAATAGAGCGTTCCCAAAGTTTCCCAGGCAGGCAGGCCCGCTTGCCAGGCAAAGCTGTGGGCTGAATTTGGATCCCAAGTGCCAGGCAAGGGCACTTCCCTCACCTTTCCAAAGAGCAGCAACAGCACGAAGGGCAGTCGCAGCAAGCTCGCTTCTCATATCCCCCTTCCTTGAACTGCTCTTAGGAATGTCACTTATGTGCTGTCTGCCACCCAAGGGGTGCTGCACTAAGCAAAATAAGTTATTAAAAGAAAACTCAACCATCAGGTCCACGGATTAACAAACGGAAACCTCAGCAAGCTGTGATGTCTCCATTTTCCAATCAGAGGGAGAAGGACAAACATTCCCCTGCCGCAGCCACCTCCGAGGAGCTATGGAGGAACGGCGGACGTGAAAGGATGAGCCGAAACTGTGGGAGACACATGATATCCCCGGAGCAGGAGCAGCTAACAGCAGAGAGGGTGGGGAAGAGCCCACATGCGTGTTTTACTCCAGGCAGAAGAACCTCTTCCAGCAGCTCCTGCAGCCCAGGCCTGGCTGTCAAATTAAATACCAGCTCAGGGTGGAGTTCCACACCGGGTGCCTGACTGCCAGGGATTGCAATCACGCAGCTTCATACAAAAGCTGTTTCACAATGGCATTCAGCATCGATATCGAACAACTCATGGTAAGTTCTTGCTCCATCGGCCATGCTGTCAACTGCTTGTAGGCTTGGGCTGCACATCAGGGTCTTGCCCAACGTGAAAACACTCGGTTTTGCTGTTTTATAACCAATTAGGTGTCTAAAAACAGCCATGCAAGAGGGAGAGGCAGACGCACCATGTACTTCTTCACAGCGTAAACCCACCATCCAAATCATTTTCACCATCCCTTTTGCTCTGGGTAGAATAAAACTCGATGGACGCTCCTACACAGCACGAACATCCCGAGACCACCACAGCCCACCGGGCAATACTGACACCACGAAACCACTTTCCCTCCCTGATACAAAAATGGGATTTATTCTGTCCAGTTCTGCAGCTCAGGCTGCTCATGGGAGAGCTTGGAATGCCCCAGTCGCTCCGGATCCCTTCCGCAGCACTCTTCCTTTTCCCATCCGTAATTACCACGCGGACATAGACATTTAAAACAGTCTGTTGTGATGCAATTATGAATTACATTTACAGCTAATTAGCGGGTGGATCAGCAGCTGTAGGTGTGCTTTACTGATCTCTCTTTTAAATAATCTCATTGTTCAGTGATTGCTCACATTAGATAGTGCTCATACTCCCTCAGAAAAGGGCCTTCCCTTCCGGTCACAGCCCATTTCCAGCTCGAATTCCCATTAAATGGTGCAGAGAGGACATTTCTTGCCCAAGCTGCCTGCACTGTGAAGGGAGTCTCGGCAAGGTGGGTTCTCCGTGCCTCCTCTTGCTCTGCTCTACAAGGTACAGGATGGTCCCTGAGCTGCTTTGCACCGCAAGGCAGAAACCCCTCCTTATCCAAGTCGTGCACTGGGAAACTGCTACGGAACCACAGCGTAGTGCTCGGGGAAACAAACGGGGCAAAAAAAGAGGAAATGGACTTTAAGGGAAGCGTGAGAAGTGTCAGGAAGCTGATGCCCTCGCCCAACCCAACCCGGCCCTTGCTCAGCACCGAGGCTGTTTACCTGCACGGCAAGTCCGTGTCCAAGAGACCAGCCTCACCTTCTTCACTGTGCTCCAGGCTGGAAAACCCATTAAAAAAAAAATCTATGAAAAAAGGTTAAATGAGGTCATGCAGGCCTAGGTGAACCCAGCGGAGTCCTCATTAGAAGGTCAAGAGCTTACCAATAAGCAGGTCTCTGGTGTGCCCCCATGCCAAAGCACGACCTCGTTTAACCTTTCTGCAAGAACTATACTAAGTATCCCCTTCAGGAAAGTGATCCTGAGGCAGGGAGACCCCCCAGAGCCCACCCTGCCATGCCTCGGACAGACCCCCAGGACCCAGCTGGTCTGGGGACGGAGTCGTGCTCCAGCTGCCATCTCCCAGCTTCCCTACCAGCGCCTGCTGCCATTTCAGATCTTCTCTCTGAAACACTGAACATGTCCTGATCCTGTTCCATCAAAACAAGCAGGTGAATCTGAGCTGTTTAAACAGCAGATTTATGTTAACCCAAAATGTTTAGACTGAAATAGTCTAGGGAAACGTCACAAAATTGGCACAGCCTGGAGACACAAGAAGGCAGAAAGCTCCGGCAGTGCCAAGCAGCTAGAGATGCCATTCTCCACCAGTACGCACGGCCAGCTGGTCTTTCAAACCCTCTCCCTGCAAACTGCTACACACATTTACACTCAAGTCTTGCTGTTAAAATGCAGGCAGAAAAAAGCTCTTCTCCCACTGCACCTTGTGTTAGGTGCAAAGTGTTGTGCAAGGACATGGGTGGTCTCCAGCTACTGCAGTAATGGGTTTTTGTCAGGCTTGGGGCAGCCGTTCCTATCAAAGATGGTACAGCTTTCACTTCTACCACTACTCTCCACGGGTCAAACCAGCAGAGCCATGACCTGTGGGGTCAATTAAAAACACCCACGTGTTCACACCACTGCCACGCACACGGGACACTCACAATAGCAAGTAGCTATCCAGCTGAACTTTAGGAAATACCAACATAGAAATGTAATGGTTTAATGGTCACACTGTGATTCAAGGGAGGAAAAGCCATCACATGAGCAAATATAGTTAATTCCCATCTCCAGAGATCACGCCCCAGAATACCCTTTTGTACAGCAATGCACCACCAGCCTAGAAAAAAGGCACAGAAGAGACTTCAGGTACCCAAAATGAATAAACAAAAAGCCTTTCCTTCATGAAAAATCATCTCTCATAGGGAAGATACCTGCAACAGCGCAAAAGGTAGCAGCGCCTCTGATGCACGTTCTTGAAAGAAATTAAACCCAAGTCTCATCTAGTGTGCAGAATCAGTCCTGGTGAATTTTGAAACCATTTTAACTTGGGCCACACACCATCAAAAGCCAGCATGGCTACAGAGAAGTTTTGTTTTTAACTGGTGCATCATTAGAGAAGCTAAAAATCACATCAAGATCCAAGTCAGAGACCCTAACAAAGCGAGGCTGAGGGCTGTGAAGAAATCAAACAATTGCATCCCAAATGCTGCCAATTCATATCATATCACTATATGCCTGGGAAGGAAACTACAGATTTCCAGTGTTCATGAAGGAAATGGCACAATCCTTTAAGGATGAAGGGTCAGCGAGCCCCAGGACAGGACTGCAGGCTGAAGCTGTTCGGAAAAGATTGAGAACACGCTGCTTTTCTCCCTGAAATACCTCTGCAGACATCCAAGAGTCGGTCGAGCAGACTGTAGCTCCAAAAGAAGATGCGTCTCACCACTGCCTGCACTACAACAGGCTTTTTGCCCCAGTCCTTTTCAGAGATGTTAAGATTTGCTAAATTCTATCTTCATTAAGTGACATCCTTGCAAAGGAAACAAGAAAGCATCATTATTTGGCTTTGTAACAGCACTTGCACAGCATGTAAATCATGAGCTTGACCCAGATTCTTTCCATCTGCAAACCACAGATCACCCAGGACCTGATCCATCTCTTATTGTAGTAGTTACTACAGGATTTCCACAAATCCCAGGAGTTTCTGTTCACAAGGAGCTCACCAGGCATTTGTGTCTCACAGCCATAGCCTTGAGGCTCACAGCCAGACAGAACTGCAGCAGCGAGACTACGCTACGGCAGAAGAGCCACGCAGCAACTCTGAAGGCTTCTGCTTAACCACCTCTGTTTTCCTGAGTGACCCATGCACCCGATGTTCTGCTACCACACGAGCCCAGAAGGTGCATCAGGAACTCTGGCTGAGAAGGTGGCTGCTCACTACAAGCCCAACGTCACTGCACCTCCAGAAGTGTGTTCTGCAGCACAGCCGGGACCGGAGGCTCCGGCGGGACCGACTGCCGCGCAGCGCCGAGCCTGCGCCGGATCCTCGCTGGCTGAAGCTGCGGGACTGTAATGAACCCTTCCCATTGCCAAAGCAGAGTTGATGCACAGGCTGGAGAATAATTCGGCTCCCTGGTCTTCAGCTTTGTTGTGCCGAGCAGAGCAGTTAAGAATCCAAAAAGCTTTCAAGCAAACAGCTACAACTCAAAAAGCAAACAAAGACTCTTTTGAGGGAAATGCTATTAAAGTATCAAAAAAGCACTTTAGGTAAATGTTTCTAGCTTCCTACTACAGCTTTAAAAACTTCATGTGCATTTCCTGAATGGTCCAGGGAAGACGTGAATCCTGACCTTAAAGCAATAAAAGACTGTGGTCACAAAACAACCTCAAACAGTCCCAGCCCTCAGCTTCCCTGTCTTTTGTATGTTTCTAATCACCATAATCTTCACAAGACTTCTCTTTTCAACAACATCCTGCCAAAGCTAATGCAAGAACCATCTCTTCAAGTTCACAATTTATTCAGCAGGCACTGTACAAGCTGTGCCATGAAAAAAAACACAAAACCAAACTTCAGATAGCAAATGACCGTTTGTGGAAACGCCAGGTCTGCTGGCCTCCAGCCTCCGGCAAAGGACAATGTCATCACACCAAGTGAGCCCATTCTCCTGAAAATTACCACCATCTCTGGTGCTTGGTGAGAGAAAGAGCCCAAGACTGAACAGGTCGGCTTCTAACAGCACAGAAATCCAAGGAGAAGATGCTGTTAATCTCTATCAACAGTATGAGGAAGACTGAAGTTTTACTTCTCCCTTCCACTCTCTCAATATCACTTATTTTTAGCAGCTCTTGAACAAGACTGGATTGAACTGGGGGTGGGGAAGAGAGAATCACTGGTTTTAATCTGAGCCCTAAAATACTTGGTAGGTCCAAAGTTATGAAAAAGAACGAAAAAAATACTCTGTATCTCAGCGAGCTCTCCACATACAAGTGTCCAGTGTTTCTCTAAAAATCAGATAATTCCACTTTACAGATGAGAGTCCACAACTCAGCGAGTCGGTAGGAGATAAAAGGGAACGGCAGGATGTCTAAAGTCTCCTCTTGTAGTCAGTGCACGGCAGTCCCAGCGCTGGGAACAGCACCTAAGACAGAGACTTGGAAACAACACTGACCTACACAGCGTGTTCTGGAAGTACTGCTACTTCCAGGACTTACAACGAGGTTGTGTTTGCTACAGCCTGCCAGTTACTCAGACGCCTTGTAGAGTAGAGAGAGAGAGAAAACAAGCAGGAAGACGACTGCCAAACACCACCTCCCTCCAAAACTACTACAGCTGCCCCAAAAAGCTGGGTGTCATCACTCACACGGAGGCAATTCCAGGCAGCTTTGACCCGGGCAGACTGTTGGGGCTGGCTCCTACCCCACTCCCGTGAATTTTACCGCTGTCCAAGCGCTTTGCAAAGCTGGTGTCCCTGAACCTGGCCATGCAAGACAGAGGCTGTCCCTAAAAACCGCCGCTCGGAGCCTGTCTGAAGATCAGCAGAACATGTTGCACAGCGATTGCATGTGACATGAGTAAGAAAAAGGAAGGAAACGGAGTTATTTCTCTGGTTTCTCTTCCCAGCTCCCAAGCTGGGCGCAGGTTACACAAGCCCCACATTCCACTCCTCCCGACTCCTCCGTTTCACCTGCAATCCTGCCCTGCCGCAGCCCCAAAGTTT